TGGTTTCCAAACTTTTGTCCTATAGTGTAAAAATCGTAATTATTGAGATAATTTACGCATACAAATGGACACATTTTATGTTACTTTAACTTCATTAAGAGAAGAGAGGAATGGTGAGAGTTGAATCGCATGCGCCATTGCATCCAACAAAAATGTAAACGTTGAAACGCTCCATTTTGTGTTTTATAAAATAACATAATATTGGAAACGGAAGGAAGAAGAAAAAGTATGCGGCGGCTTTGTTGGCAGCACTAAAAATGCAGAAGCAGCATCCAGTTGGGAAATGTCTGTGAAAACACCTTGACGGTTTTAATTTCACTGTCGAATCAATAAATTAGTAAATATTTTCTCTGCATGAAAATGTGTTTAAAAACAATTCTTTGTACATAAAAATATTGAATATACCGCAGACACAAAAAATAAAACGCACAAAATACCAAAGTTCACAATAATTGATATTAAAAATGCTTTCGCACGATATGAAAATTGAAAATATATTTCATTCCATGAAGTTTGAAGGAAGAAAATTGTGTGCACAGTTAAATATGTGTTGAAGAAATTTATTTATGTTGAAAGTAATACTAAATTATTTTGTCCTGTCGGTTTGAATATTTCTTTCCTCTTTAAATTATTTCCGTTGAAATTGAAAGAGGACAAAAGTATTGTTATAATCGCAGTGAAACAAAGGAAAAAGTAAAAACAAAAAAGAAAAATGGAAAAACATGATATGTAAAAAGAAACCCATTGGAAAACGCACTATTGACATACATACGAGAAATAGAATTGCATTGTTAAACGAAATTGTGTGTGTGTGCTTAAAATCGTTTATTCATTTTAACGGCAGGGGGAATATTTGGATTTAGTTGCAGTCAGAACTGCTGTGGTGATTAATGAATGTGTGATGTAGGCTTAACGCCTAAATTTCTGTAAAAAGTACAAGTATTTATGTTAAAATGGCGGAGTTGGGGATTATGATTGCAGTGTGATGAGTACTGGAATAATGTTAACATGTTCTTGTATGTTATTTCTCTCCATTTCGAACTCTCACTCTCGCACAACATATAAACACTTTTAATTTTTTTCTTGAATTCCAAAATAAATAAAATTTTTGTTTTTTAATAATTATAGTATAGAATCCTATTCATGCATTTCCGGGATCTGCTATTCTTTCTTTAAAAAATAAAAGCGCGAAAATACAATTGTAGGAAGTGAAGTATAAAAGAATGCAAAAAAAGCATTGTTGGACAAATTTACAATACATTTTTTAAAGTTAAACTTGACATAATTTTGTAGAAATAAAATATATTTAATTATATATTTAAAGTTTTTTTCTTGCAACTTATTTTAATACAATTTGCTTTAATTTATGTAAAGCATATTTTATTACATAAAATGAGCATATATTATTACATTTTACATATTTTACATAAAATATATATATTTAATTATATATTTAAAGTTTTTTCTTGCAACTTACTTTAAATAAATTTGCTTTAATTTATGTAAAGCGTTTTACATAAGCTGACTTGCATTTTAAATGTTCGTTTTTACATATTTTCGAAATATGGCAAATTAAATAAATTGCAACTCAATCTTTAAATATTAATTCTTTTCATATTAATTCAAATAAATAATGTTTTAACATTATATTCCAAAAAAAAATAAGTAAAAATAAATATTTTTTTTTGTGAAATTATCCTTACTTTTAATATGCAACAAAATTAAAAATGCTGTCATCGAATATTTTTGACGTCAGTTACATGAAGCTTTACATTAAGACTGAAAAGTTTTCGGAAATTCTCATTTAAAATTCGCGCGCTGTATATTTTTCGATATTTTAAGTTTATGTAGTTTGGCAGCACTGTCCTTATTTACTATGCCAAAAATGAGCGCGATCTGTCAGACAGTTCGTTTACGGCAGCTGTTGAAACCAGTTCACCTCAGTAGTGCGTTGCGAAATGTCTTCGACGGTCGTACGACCGTCCTGGAAGGCTTTGTACCACTCATAAACTTGAGTTTTCGATAAAACTGATTCCCCATAAGCCTTTTGTAGCATTCGCAACGATTCTGCACACGAAATTTCGTTCGAAACACAAAATTTGATGCAAACTCTTTGTTCAATATTTTTTTCCATTGTTTTTTTCGCAACGCCCTACTGAGGTGAACTGGTTTCAACAGCTGCCGTAAACGAACTGTCTGACAGATCGCGCTCATTTTTGGCATAGTAATTAAGGACAGTGCTGCCAAACTACATAAACTTAAAATATCGGAAAATATACAGCGCGCGAATTTTAAATGAGAATTTCCGAAAACT